GCACTAGAACCGCAAAACCCGAAAGCTCGTGGGCAACCTTTTGAAAATTAACTGAGGCCTCGAAGAAGACTCTATGACACCTGCACAAATCCCGCGAAAACCAAGGAATCCCCGTAATAAAAACAACAAGGGTAGGTTAACACCCTGAACCCCCAAACCGTGGCCGCATCTCCTCGGCAGGCTTCTCGCCCATCTCCGCGGCCATCTCGGCGGCACGCTCCTCGCGCTGCTCCTTGGAAACCACCTGCACACGAGTTTGAAGTCCGTAACAAATACAAGTCTTCTTACTATCACCAACTATCACTGTTACTGCTACTATTACACTGACCATTACCATTACTATTACTATTGACACCATTACTCATTACTCTTCCTGTCACTATCACTTTTGCTGTTAGCATTCGGGGTTGAGCTTGCGGGGTTTGTGGCTTGGGGCCTCCAGGCTCAAAGCGGGTTTTAGTTCGGGTTTTTGGGCTTGGGGAACTTCGCTTGTAGTTTTGGGCGGGTAAGTAGGGGCTTGGGGCGTCCCAGACATCTCCAGCTTCGAATCTTGAAATTTAGGGGGCTCAGGTCGGTGGGGTGGTGGAAAAATTTTCCTAAGTCCTGAACGCCTCGTTGCCCAACCGAAGCCCCAAATCCCCGTCTGAACCCCTCGACCCTCAAGCCTGCTTCCGAGCCTTGTAGCAACCGCCCATCCACCACCAAGCAATGAAGCCGGCGACGACGCCAATGGCCAGCAACCTGATATAGGCAAGTACCCATCCGAGGTACGGGCAGGGGGAGACGTGAGGAGTGCTTCGGTTCGCCCCTTGCAGCCATTTCTAGCTTCCACCCCTCCAGCCGCTTGATTTAGGATGTAGGGCCTTGTAGATCGAAATTAGAAATAAATGTCTATATCTACATACATCGGGGCCGTATCCAGGTCAGTCTGATGCTGACTGGTCTTGGGAGCCTCAACGATGCTCCCACTACTGGGGCCTTAATGGGTTTTGGGGTATATTTTAATGTAGTCACAATAAGGAATCCTAAGAAATAGTTCGAGTAATCATGTGGCTTCAGAATTACTTAGGCCACCAGGCACTCTATTGGCAATTTTCAATGCTTCGGGTCCACGCTAGCCGAAACCCAAGAAAAAAACTTCAATCCCTTAAACCCCTTGAACCCCGAACCCCTAAACCCTACCCGAAACCCAATACACTTCCAACCCTTGAACCCCCTTGAACCCCTAAACCCTACCCGAAACCCAACAAAAACTTTCAACCCTTAGACCCCTTGAACCCCCCCAAACCCCTAAACCCTACCCGAAACCCAATTAACTTCCAACCCTTCGACCCCTTGAGCCCGCGAACCCTTCAACCCCGCTGCCGGCCAGGGGGCGTGACGACGATGCCCCCGGCGATGCTGGCGCCGTAGAGTAGGGAGATGGCAAGCACGACACCTGCGGCTTTTAGGGCTTCTAAAAGCTCCTGTAGGGGTCCAGCATGTAGAGCTTATGGTGCAAAGCTTAGGCTTTAGGCAGGTAATATGAAGATTCAGCTTGGTAAAGACCGCCAGGTGGCTTCTGAAGAGAGTAAAGGGTTCGTGGGTTTTAGGGCTTGGGTGCTCCTAGATCATCAACATCATCGTCGTCACTTCGATTTCCTGCTTGAAAACAGCCATCAGCGCCCGCCACCATCACCTCACATGACCATCATCAGCAGCATCATAGTCAGTTTCACCCATATGATAAGCTCATTCATGCCCGCACCACGAGCAGCAGAGGCATCTTCTTCGTGTTGAGCAACGTAACCACCCGCAACGCCGTCATCATTGTCATCACAATCATCGTCGTCGTCGTCATCATCATCATCATCATCATCGTCCTCCTCTTCCTCCTCATCATCATCACGGCCAGCACCATCGCAATCCTTCTGACCACCATCGTTGCCATCATTATCGTCATCAACAACAACGACGATGCCAGCCTCATGACCATCACCATCTGCACTGCCATCTTCATCGTCAGCTCCTTCTCATCACCGCCACCATCATCACCAAGCGGTGGTACATTTCCGTCATGCTGCCCACAAGCTGAGACAGCAAGCCTTTCCACCCCAAACCTAGACCCTGAAGCCCCAAAATATGAAAACATGAACTTTAACCCCAAAGCAGACAAGGCGACAAAATCCTCGGAGCTGTCCGGACCCGGCCTGGAACGGCCACGAACATCACCAAGATGTAGATGAGGGGCACCAGACGCCTTTGTCTTGGGTGGACTCATCGGGCTCTTAGAGCTCTTAGAGTTGGGGGTTTTCAGCTCTATAACGGTTTGAAGAAGTGTTTAGGGTTCGACACGAGGTCATGATGGGCTTAAAACTTGCTTCACGGGGTCTGCCTGTGCCAAGCTCTTACGGCTCAAGCTTTTGGTGGTCAGAGGCAGAGTTTGCGGCATAGGGAAGCAACGATCCCTTTCGACAAACCCTCGATAGACGGACCAGAATGTGGGTTTAGGGTTTAGGGTTAGGGACGAACCCCCAGCCTACAAGCAAAGATGAATCCGCGATTCGCAATCCTATACTGCAGACCCGGCAGAAACCCCTTCTGACCCCTCAAGAAGGAGGACCCGGTGATGCCCAGGTGCCAGTAGGAGGCATAGAATCCCAGCAAGCAGGCAGCCTTGATGGGAATTCGTCGCATGAAAGGCACCGGAAACCAGATCCTGCGCTCTTTCTGCAATGGCTTTAGAGGCTTATAGGGTGTTCTTAGGGTTTCTGTATGTGTGTCTAGGTATTTGGAATAATGTATCCACGTCTTCATCGGTCTTACAAAACTTATGAAAACAACCACACCCTAAACCCTAAACCCTGTACATTGAAAAGCTTATCTCAAGTCGAACCCAGAAGCAAGATGCCGATGATGTTGAAGAACAAGTGCCTCGCGATCGTCCGGTTCAGCCGGGCAGGGCGTGAGTTTCGATTGTATA